TCATTTCTTTTCATCTTTTTGAATTTTATATCATTGAATTTGCATAATTTATGCTATAACAAAATTTAAAAGTTCATTGTTGAATATTAAGACGTTAATGTTAGTAGACCAATGGATTTGAGAATTCTGCACAGGCCAGTGAGTACAAAACACTGCAGAATGTGTAAACATTTGTTGAAGTTGAACCCACTTGAGACATTTAGCAATATATCTTACACTTAGGCATGTATTCATTCAAATATTTATTTTCAAACAAGATAATAATAATAATAATTTATGTAATTGACAACCTGAATAAATGCCTTACTAAATTAATAAATTAATGACAGATAAGTTGAATTATTTAAAACAACATTGAATATATTATTTTTACATTGTAAAAAAATAAATATGCATATTGTCATAAATTTCTTTATAAAATTGAACATGGCTTTAAAAAATCCTCCAAAAACATATTATCTACTGTTCATCTGTGTCACTTTTTTACCATCCTCATGAGAAGTTCCTGCAACATATGAACAACCTGCCAATGTGAAGATGATTAAAAACCAAATATGACTGGAACAACACCACATTGGCAACCTGAGTAGATTTCACATTTGTTTGTCTCAGTGTCAGACTTAACAGTGATGGAAACAGCCACAAATATGTTAAAAATAATATTTTTAGAACAATCATCATCACAGTTTGAAAATCATCATGCGAGGTGATGCTGAAATACACTGAAAAAACATTCAATATTAGTCTAAAAAAATATTTAACATTAGTCTATCAATAACATGAGAAAGCCTAAAAAACTAGGCTGGATGGATACCTGGCTACTTGCATGTGTATGTGGGAGTTTGACTAACGTATGAATGAGTAGTGATAGATAAATAAACTCATTCCAAATTACACAACTCTAACAATCGACTATCTTTTCATTCTTTATTCATTCATTCAAACACACATTCATTCATTCATACATTCATTCAACACTATTACTTATTATTTTTTATTAGTCCTATATTTCATTCATCAAGAATTTTTCCACAAATCCAGGTTAGATATCCAAGAGGGACATAATGAATCACTTCAACAGCCAAAGTAAAAAATGGTTGATGCATTTTCACATTCAATATAATACTAAGAATATAAACAACAACAAACACACGTTTAGACGACATTTTCCCCGAGATCGGGGGTTGCCGTTTGGCTACCTATGATGAAACCGAAATACCCCTCGACGCCATTCACATCTGTCACTCGCCTCAGTATCACGCAACCCCGCTTTTACTTTGTCCTTCTCCACCTGCTCTCTCCATGAACACATTTCTTACATTTGAACGTGCCTTCCAACTTTTTCAGTGCCCCCCTCACACCACTACATCTCTTATGCACCCACTTCTGACATCCTATACACAATACCGAGTTAGCCTTCACTCTTCTGTCACATACCCCACAGGGGTCTATTTTACTTATCACTTGCTCCCCACCTTCCCCACTCACCATTACCTTCGTCTTACAAATATTAACTTTTAACCCTTTCTTTTCAATAACACTTTTCCATCTGTCAAATTTTAACTGCAATTCTTCCATGATATCAGCCATCAAGACTAAATCATCTGCATACAAAATCTCAAATAACAACCCCTCCATTATGTTTCCACACACAACATCCATCACAATTGCAAACAAAAACGGTGATAACACTGATCCTTGATGCACTCCTACCTTAAAACTAAAAGCGTCCGACATCTCCCTTCCGACCCTCACCTTTGTCTTCGCCCCTTCATACAGCTGCATCACAGCTTTAACAAGTCTCTCATTCACTCCTTTCTTCCTCAGCGCCCATTCAATGACCTTCCTCGGTACTCGATAAAAAGCCTTTTCTAGATCCACAAAACACATGTACAATCTTCGTTTCTTCTTTCTATAATTCTCCTGCAACATTCTCACTATGAAAAACGCATCCCCTACCAGGCATAAACCCACACTGCACTTCATTAACTGTCACCATATTCCTCAACATCCTCTCAAGCACCCTCTCCACTACCTTTATTCCATGCTCTAGCAATTTCACACCCCTATATGACCCACAATCTCTCACATCTCCTTTGCCCTTATACAACGGCACCAACACACTATGTCGCCAATCCTCAGGTATACCTTCATCATCCAACATACTGTTAGCAATTCTCATCATAACTTCAATTCCTATCACCCCACTCGCCTTTATATGTTCCGCCGCCACTTCCGAAACCCCTGTCGCCTTACCTAGTTTCATTTCTCTAACTGCTTTCTCTACTTCCTCCATCGTCACCTTCTCTATGGGTCCGTGTGTGACCGCGGATTCCAAATCTCCATCCCACTCATTTTCTTCATTCATCAACCTTTCCATATGGCCTCTCCACACCTGAGCTTTTTCCTTCTCATCTATGCACAACTTGCCAGATCCATCCCAAACATATCCATTCCCTATAACATCTTTCCTATCCCTCATTGACTGCTTTGCTACTTTGAACATTTTCCTCGAACTCACATCAAATTCCATTTCCCTCATTAACCTATCTGATGCTTTCGTCATTGCAGTTGCCACTGCCCGTTTTGCAACTTTCTTAGCCTTCCTGTACTCAAACTCCGCTTCCCCCGTCATGTCCCTATTCCACACCCTAAACCTCTCCTTGACCTCCAAAACCTTTCTTATATCTTCATCCCACCACCACGTCTCACCATGCCTACATTTTCCTTTCGTCCATCCACATACTTTATCTGCCGTAGTCATCACACAGTCCCTATATCTCTCCCAAACATCTCCATCCTTACCACTCTTCCAACTTTCAGCCACCTTCACTTCAAATGCCTTCCTCACCTCTGCATCCTGTAACTTCCATGTCTTTCTCTTTGCCACAAACTTATCCTTCTTCCCCATTTTTTTTGATGCCACATCCATCACAACCATACTATGCTGCAACATACCAGGTATCGCCTTCACATTCCTTACATACTTTCTATGCTTCGCCCTTATCAATATATAATCTATCATTGACCTATGCTCCCCTGACCTATATGTAATTAGTCGTGCTGGTTCTCTTGTAAACCAGGTATTCCCCACCACCATGCTATGTGCATCCGCCAACTCCAACACTCTACGCCCTTCCTCATTCCGTATACCATATCCCCAACTCCCATGTACACCTTCATATCCGTCTGCATCCGCCCCCACATGACCATTAAAATCACCCAACCACACCACAAACTCATCCAACCCCGCTTGCCCAATCTCGTCAGAAACATCATCATAAAACCTATCCTTCTCCTCTTCCTTCCTACTTTGTTGCGGAGCATATCCTGATATTACCCTCACTATTACCTTTCCAAACACCATCACCACCACAATTACACCATTGCTTTTCCGCCTCACTTCCAACACCTTCTCCACCAACTCTTCTCTTACCATCACACCAACTCCTCCCGTACCATCATCCCCCTTCCACCACAACTTATACCTTCCACCTTTGGCCCCCACAAACCTTGTACCCTCTCCCTTTCATCTGATCTCCTGTAATGCGGCCACGTCAACCATTCTCCTCTGCAACTCCTCCACCACTTCCAAACTCCTTCCTGTCAACGTGCCTACATTCCAGGTACCAAACCTCCAGCCCCTTGGTTTACAAGTAATCCTTCCATCCATAGTGCCTTGCACCGCAACACTATAGAGTGGGGTGCCAGTAGCCAGACCATCCACAGGGCCTTGCACCGCAACCCCATGGACTGGGTCTCCGGGGATTCTTCACACCCTCTTCTGCCGGATACTGAGGGCCATTGTCACTTCTGTCATCATAAGTAATTTATTTGGCTAATTTTTACGCAGGACGCCCTTCCTTACGCAACCACAGTTATAAGCGGTGGGCCTAGCCTTTGATGATCCAACATCACTCACAAGGCAGTGAGGGTCAGTTTAATGTCATAACCAGGACAGAATACTAAGACTATAAATACTAAGAATATAAAACAGAATATTTTTTACCTGACTAAAGATAAACCAAACAAATCAAAGCCTCAAATAATATTTGTCATCTAGTGAATATAATTCAATCATATGTAACCTTTGTTAGGCTAATATTTCTAGTTAATGAATTTCTTTTACTTTCATAACAACTGTGAGCAATGTTAACGTCATTATCCATTGATATCCAATAGTTATCCCTGGACTCAATGGATGGAACTTTCCTCAACCTCAGGCTATGTGATGTATTATCGTCATCACTCACATCAACACTTTGACTCTTTTTTACCAGCATTGCAGTCATGCTGAATGCTTCTTAGAATGTCAATTTTGGAAAAAAACACGAAGAACAAGATGGTGTTGGTAACATTGAAGATTTAAAAATCGATGGTTGGCTACAGTTGATTATCACCAATTAAACAAAAACTCAAATCAACCAGCTCGAAACAATTAAATTATATAAAATGTTTTTCAGGCCTATAACAAAATGTTACTTTTTATGAATAAATAAATTTTTTTTATTTCATTCTTCAAAATTTAAACCTTCATAATCATTTTAACTTTTAGAAATACAATTTTATTATAAAGTATAAAAATTTGAGGATAGTAAAGTAATTTAAGCCAATAAATTGAAAACTGACAAATTACAACTACCACTTTTATATATTTAAAGTGAAAAATGATGTATGCTGTAACAGCATCTGTCAGATCCTAATTTTTAAAGAATAATAAAAAAATATATATATATATGTATTCATCTTCACTTACAAACTGACTGCTTCAGTTATGAATGCTTGATGACTCTCTCTATCACAACAATAAATTTATTTATTCTAGCTAACCATGGTTTTGTACAACAAAATTCCTGTGCATCAATCTAAGATGTACACACATTGGTGCATAATTAATTAATATTGTATTCGAAAGTACAAAAGAGTGAAATACATCACAGCTAATACAGGTGAGCCAGTAGATGAATGAAGCCACTTTCAATAGCTGAGTAGGTAGGCATTTAATTACAACCTTTGATGTTCTCAAACTTTAATTAAATTTATCAACACCAATTTAATTTGTTATTTATTTCTCTATATTGATTTAAATTTTAGACATTCTACTTTTTACACTGTATTTCTTTACTAGATATGCTTAGAAATACTATATAAAGTGTAGTGAATTTTGATTTTGTTAAGTTGTTATTGTAACATTCCATCCAAGTTAATAATATTGACAAACAATATTTATACCATTGCAAACAGTGGATATTAAATATTATAGCAATTTTACTAAATAAAACACTTACCAACATTTTATTAAAAAAAATTAAGTAAATTTGATAACAAAAAAAATTTGTTGTTCTGACTTTTAAAGTGTCATCCAGACAGGCTAGCAATGAATTAGCATGCGGGCCAGTGAGGGATGCTGATGATGATGACGACGGGGGCGGAGTTGGCTCAACAGATTGGAAAATGTCCTCCACTGCATATGTGACATTCACAGTCGACGATTTTTTTACTGGTGAATCCTGAATAATTCTTCTAGTCATGGTGTTCTTTGCTCCTAAACTATTTGATAACTTATCAAAGTTTGGTTTGGTATCCTTCATTAAACTCATTCGCCTCGATGGCTGAATTTTTGGTAAAGATTTACAAGCACTAACTTTATTTTGTGCATCAAAAAATGCATTTTTTTTCGTTGAGGGCTGTGTGACACATTGCTTTGTTTTTGCAGGGTGCTGGTGTGAAAGTAAACTCTTCCTTCTCTTTAAAACATTCATCACTTCATCATCAGTCCAACTTTGAATCACTTTCAATAGTTCATCTGCATTGTTTCCATTATTTTTAATCATTTTTGTAGAAGGTTCCGTTTGTAAACTTTTGGACAACAATGGAACATTTGATTTGGTGTTTGGCTGTTTAATTAATCTTGGAATTCTATTACCACAATATTTTACCAAGCTTGGCTGCTGTTGCTCAGGCCTGTCCGATTTGCTACTACAAGCAACAGCAAAAGGAGATTCAACTTCTAAAATACCACCTTGACCATTGTAGTTATTCAACTCCAGACTTAAATCTAAAGTCAGACTATCCTGGGATGTAGTCAGTGACTCCACTGTGCAATCCTTATTCTCCATTCCAAGTGCCAAATTGACACTTATGTGCTTATGTAGTAGAAGAGCAGTGGTGTTCCTTTATTTTACAGTTTTACTCAAAGAAGTTAGTAAAAATTTAAATAAAAAGATCTCTAAGTAGTTGTTATTAGTAGCTTAGTGTAGTAGTTAATGTAGTAGTTAGTTTTAGTAGTAAAGTTTCAACAAGTAGGTGTCTGTCTTTAATTTTAACTTAAAATTAAGTTTAAAACTGAAGCATAGTAGTAGGTAGTACAGTACAGTACTAGTACACCATTACTTAGCCACTATTAGAACATTAGAAGACGATATTTGTTTTAACCTAACGATTAAAATAAACCTATTGAAATATAAAACAATGTTGTGAATGTTAGCTAGGTCTTTATGAATCGTTTTTTATTTCAAAAATAACTTACCTAAAATCTAGATTTAAACTTGTTGAGGTTAACACGGTTGTTATTTTGTGGACAAGTGAAGATAAAGAAGGAACTTATGGTAAGCTTCCTACGTATTTTTGGATGATTTTTCCATAAATGTTATGAATTAATTATGAATTAATATTCTATATGAGTCATAAATATAAAATAAAATTTATGGGACCGGGACATACCGTATAGTTATAATAACAAAAACGTTCCCTACATTAAATTAACTAAAATGATTTTTTTTCTATACAAAATGCATCATCATGGGAAAAACACGATACGGCTGTACTAGAATAGAACACCAAGCATCATATAACAATAATGGAAAAGGTAAATCATTTATTTATTAGTTATTTATTTATCAGTTTATTCAGGCACAGCCAGGAGAACAGAAGCTTAAAATAAGCTTGTATGGCCACTCTAAAATAAATTGATAGTATCCTACCAAGCGATCTGTAATTCCATGCACGGTTCCATGTTACCGCATGTTAAAGAAAAAAAAATGTATTCCCAATTTAATGAACAAGCTGGTTTTATTTGCCTTTTATACAGCTGTTGCCAGCTATATCGTGTTCTATCCATTGATTATATATATATCCATGGTTCTATCTTTTCACGATAACTTTACTGTAAGAAAGAACTGAAATAACTTTATACATCCTTTATAATTGGTGCGGTGCAGGTATATCTCCAGGACAAGTTCAAGTAACCGACAAGGGCTGAAGAGTCAATTACCAAGTCTAGCCCTATATCACAATTTCTATGCGTCAATGATGTAAACTAATTAGTTAGTTAATTAATTGATTATTTTGTTAATTAATTAATAATTTATTTATTTATTGTAAAGCATTTAAACATTCAAAACAATAGCAGGAAACAAAAGACAGATATATTTAATTAATGACTTGGATCAGCTTCATTCTCTTGATCGCACAAATTTTTTCAACTGCGGTTTCTATCATGTTATTTAACTAAATAACTGGTGTGAAATATTATTTATCCAAAATGTTTCAGTGATTAGATGGCTATTGATAGATGGCTTGAACAATAGGCATGTTTTATTTTCAGTAGCCAAATTTAATGTGTTGAGTGGCATCTAGATAAAATCGTTGCGTTCTTCTATCCGTTTCACAATTGTTCTGTAATACTATTGTCACATATTTAAACTCTAGGTTTCTATATATAATTAGAATAAATCATATATAATGTAACATATGTAGTGTAATGTATATATATATATATATATATATATATTCTATAAATTCTACCGAATGTTTGGCGTTAATATGTTTGTCGTTCGTTTTTTCGATTTTTCTCACTAAAGTTTTTTGGTGAACGTTTAGTTTATTAAAATTCAAAATAAACTTATTTTTCGAATTCATGCTGCAAATAAGGCCATATTTCGATTCCGAATGAATCGTCATCAGTGCTCCTTGCTGTATATATAGGGAAATATTGACTTTGTCAAGATGAACTTTGGTGTTGTAAAGTTGAACTTTGATGCGAATTAGGTGTCAGGTTACTTTATTGGCTGGTCATCTTCTTGGTCTCCTTTTCTTCATCGATAACATCATATTCTTCTTTGTCACTATTTACGATGCTAGTTTTTATTACTTCTTTGTTTTCGTTGTTGGTTAAGCGCCGGGTTGAAAGTGAGGTTGTCATTTTTTGTTGTATATTTATTTTTAAACCTAGAAAACCTAGAAAATTTCTTGCCGTGAAATTAGCCGTGAATATCTTGGACAGCAACACCAAAGTCATATACCAGAACAGCAACTACACGCATCTTAAAATTGCAGAAGCAGTCCTAATTGACATCAATAACCAAAA